ATAAGGAATTATTTGAAAATAAAATAATAATAATTATTTGAAAATAATAATTTATTTTCTGTTGTACGAATACGAGAACGAGTACGCGTAATTACCGTACATTGTCTATAAAGTTTTGTTGTAACATTGAAAAAATATTGTAAATTTTTTGCATTGCTATTTACTGTTATTCACGATTTAAAAAATTTTTGTTGCATTCACCATATTGAGTGGTGCTCGTGTCGGTTATCTTCATTTCTTGAACTTCGAATTTATTACTACATTTTTGGTTTATCATAACCAAACGTAACTGTAAATAAAGAAATTTAACATGAATCGGACTAGAAGAAAAATTGAACGCCCAAAGAATCCCTACTCAACCGGTAATATATTTTCGAGATGGAGTTTCTGGTGGATGAGAAAAATATTTCATAAGGGTTTGCAAGGACCACTTGAAGAGGAAGAGTTATATCAGCACCGTAAAGACTTAGATAGTGAACGAGTAACTACAAAGTTTTCGTAAAAACAAGACGGTGCAATAATCCGTTCGCGTAGTTTAACTGCTGTGTATTTTATTTTAGAAGATTTAGTGTTTTCAGCAGAGATCGTAGGCAAACGTATTCGTGCCAAATTGGATGGCACCCAAATTATATATAAAGGTGCATTTGGATAAGAATCTACAAACGACCATTGAGCACAAAGTAAGTGTTAAATAACACTTATTTCATTAAATCTTTTTTTGCGCTTGTGTTTTTTGCTGTTTAAAATTAGTGGTCCAATGTTTCGTTTACGCTTCATTGCTCAAACTGAATTGTAGCTTATTCATATATTGGTAACATTCATCAAATTTAATGAGTGTAGCAATTAACTTGCAGCAATTAATTCAATATGTCTTAATAATAATAATTCATTAAACAGAATAATATAACAATTTTGCATGATTTGCATAAGGATAAGGAATTATTTGAAAATAATTTCTGTTGTACGAATACGAGAACGAGTACGCATAATTACCGTACATTGTCTATAAAGTTTTGTTGTAACATTGAAAAAATATTGTAAATTTTTTGCATTGCTATTTACTGTTATTCACGATTTAAAAAATTTTTGTTGCATTCACCATATTGAGTGGTGCTCGTGTCGGTTATCTTCATTTCTTGAACTTCGAATTTATTACTACATTTTTGGTTTATCATAACCAAACGTAACTGTAAATAAAGAAATTTAACATGAATCGGACTAGAAGAAAAATTGAACGCCCAAAGAATCCCTACTCAACCGCTAATATATTTTCGAGATGGAGTTTCTGGTGGATGAAAAAAATATTTCATAAGGGTTTGCAAGGACCACTTGAAGAGGAAGACTTATATCAGCACCGTAAAGACTTAGATAGTGAACGAGTAACTACAAAGTTTTCGTAAAAACAAGACTGTGCAATAATCCGTTCGCGTAGTTTAACTGCTGTGTATTTTATTTTAGAAGATTTAGTGTTTCCAGCAGAGATCGTAGGCAAACGTATTCGTGCCAAATTGGATGGCACCCAAATTATATATAAAGGTGCATTTGGATAAGAATCTACAAACGACCATTGAGCACAAAGTAAGTGTTAAATAACACTTATTTCATTAAATCTTTTTTTGCGCTTGTGTTTTTTGCTGTTTAAAATTAGTGGTCCAATGTTTCGTTTACGCTTCATTGCTCAAACTGAATTGTAGCTTATTCATATATTGGTAACATTCATCAAATTTAATGAGTGTAGCAATTAACTTGCAGCAATTAATTCAATATGTCTTAATAATAATAATTCATTAAACAGAATAATATAACAATTTTGCATGATTTGCATAAGGAATTATTTGAAAATAATTTCTGTTGTACGAATACGAGAACGAGTACGCGTAATTACCGTACATTGTCTATAAAGTTTTGTTGTAACATTGAAAAAATATTGTAAATTTTTTGCATTGTTATTTACTGTTATTCACTATTTAAGAAATTTTTGTTGCATTTACCATATTGAGTGGTGCTCGTGTCGGTTATCTTCATTTCTTGAACTTCGAATTTATTACTACATTTTTGGTTTATCATAATCAAACGTAACTGTAAATAAAGAAATTTAACATCAATCGGACTAGAAGAAAAATTGAACGCCCAAAGAATCCCTACTCAACCGCTAATATATTTTCGAGATGGAGTTTCTGGTGGATGAGAAATATATTTCATAAGGGTTTGCAAGGACCACTTGAAGAGGAAGAGTTATATCAGCACCGTAAAGACTTAGATAGTGAACGAGTAACTACAAAGTTTTCGTAAAAACAAGACGGTGCAATAATCCGTTCGCGTAGTTTAACTGCTGTGTATTTTATTTTAGAAGATTTAGTGTTTTCAGCAGAGATCGTAGGCAAACGTATTTGTGCCAAATTGGATGGCACCCAAATTATAAAGGTGCATTTGGATAAGAATCTACAAACGACCATTGAGCACAAAGTAAGTGTTAAATAACACTTATTTCATTAAATCTTTTTTTGCACTTGTGTTTTTTGCTGTTTAAAATTATTGGTCCAATGTTTCGTTTACGCTTCATTGCTCAAACTGAATTGTAGCTTATTCATATATTGGTAACATTCATCAAATTTAATGAGTGTAGCAATTAACTTGCAGCAATTAATTCAATATGTCTTAATAATAATAATTCATTAAACAGAATAATATAACAATTTTGCATGATTTGCATAAGGAATTATTTGAAAATAATTTCTGTTGTACGAATACGAGAACGAGTACGCATAATTACCGTACATTGTCTATAAAGTTTTGTTGTAACATTGAAAAAATATTGTAAATTTTTTGCATTGCTATTTACTGTTATTCACGATTTAAAAAATTTTTGTTGCATTCACCATATTGAGTGGTGCTCGTGTCGGTTATCTTCATTTCTTGAACTTCGAATTTATTACTACATTTTTGGTTTATCATAACCAAACGTAACTGTAAATAAAGAA